TTTTTGGCCCACTTAGGGGAGCTTGTTGTTTGAATTTTTTAATGGTTTATTTTGTTGTTTATATTAAAGATTTATGATTACACCATTCAAATACACGTTCTTCAAGACTTGAACTTGAATTCTTACGGAATTTACTTTTTCTAATTCTCTCGAATCATGTTTGGTGTTCTTTAGGGTTTGCTTTTATGTTTTTCTACCTAATTGGGTGAAAGGTCATTTTTTTTGTTTACATAGATTGTTCTGGTGTCCAGAACTCCTAATTTATTTTATCAGGCTCCCTGTTGGAGGCATGAGTTATTTTTTAGAGCCTGATCATGTTTCTTCGACTTCCTGATTAACACACTTTATGAAAAAAAAATGAAACTTCTTATTGTTAAAACCAAATCATAATAAACCTGGAATCAAATCAAGATCTAATCATGCCAAATCATTAAGAATAAAATATTAGATTTGCAGAAGCGTACTTGGATTAATTGATAAGTTAAAATCCTTGAATCTTTCTTCGGTTGTGATCTTCCAAGAAGATAGAATTCACTTGAGTGTAAACTTTCTAACAGGATAAGAAAAAAATACGAGTTTATCTATTTCTTAGGGATCATAACCTCTTTATATAGATGATTTAAGAATCAATTATTGTCTTACTCATAACTCTATCCCTCATCAAATTATAAATATAACTTTAATAGTATCTACACTTTTATTTCCATGAGACTCTATAACATAATTGGTCACTTAATTTATGTCACATTTTATGATAACAATATAGATTATAAATATGTGTCATAATTATGGATTTTAATCCAACAATCTCCCACTTGGGCAACATACGTTTCTTGATAAATTGTTTAACTTTATCGGCTCAAAATTTGTTATCATGTAATAGGTATTCTATAGCAATCTCATCCATCAACTATCCATATAGGATCAAAGTGGCCTTTGCCATATCAATTGTGGCTAGACCTATCAATAGTCACATATACAAACACAATCAAATGACAGATAAATCATGGAGCGTAGCATGAAAATTACATACAATGTGAACCAAACATATATACTTCCAGCTGGTCCTCTTTGAACTTTAGTGAGATCAAATTTTACCAAAATTAGAGTTCGAATAAACCAAAACAAACTTTATTTTTGCATAAAATAACTTAAAATAAGTATCTTTAAACTGAAGTAAATGAAATTGTGTTTAAAACAAACAAGCATTTTTAAAGTCACAAACTCGCACTAAAACTGGATATCCTTAAGTGATATTATACCCAAATGAGTAGTGTACTCATGAAAGACCTAGGGCGACAATTCTTTAGTAAGCGCACAATAATGAGTTTGTACCAACATGCTCTATAAACACATAACCAATCTGATTTTTCTTTAACAACCATAAACATAATGTCTATGTGTTTAGGCTTTAAGGTGTTTCTATTGTATATGGAATAAAAGGATTGCAACTTTATTGTCACAAAATAACTCAAGTGATATTTCTTATAAATCCATAATTAGCAGTTCATGTGATAAAATTTTGCATCCATATTCTAATAAGTCATAATCTATATACCTGATGATCTCTTACTTATTAGACCTTTGATATGTGAGCATGCAACATTTTTGTTCCTAAATGTATCTTATGAATCAATTTGGCTACTATGCAACGATCCACACTCAAAATGCTTATGTATATGTTTAATATCCTAAAATTATACGTTATATCTGAATATGTATAAACCCGAGTATACATTAAACTCTTCATTTATTTTTGAACCATAAGAAACCTTTAATATTTTCTTAGTTTCAAAATCATTCTTAGGGAACTGATCAAGACTAAACTTGTTTCATTTAATAAGTTCTATCATTTGATGTACTTTCACTAAACTTATAGTATATACAATTGTCAACCAAATTCATCTCATAACCAAACGAGATAATCATTTGGTGAAATTTATTATACAATTAACAAGAGTCATGCTTAAACTCATAAATGAATTTCCATATCATTAATTTTGTATCATGAGACACAACTTTCTAATTGCACCTTATAAAACATCTCATCAACGTTACCATTTTGATATCCAACTTATGTAATTCAAGATTAAATATTAGCGACAAGTATCACGATTATCCTAAAAGAATCTTTTAATGAAACCAAATAGAAATCTCTACAAAATTAATTCCTTCTTTATGAGTATATCTTTTAAATACAATATATGCCTCATATTTATCAACATCACCATTTGCATCCATCTTGGTTTTAAATATCCATTTGCAATCAATTAATTTTACACCTTCAGGTAATGAGACAAATTCTTAAACTTTATTATCATGTATAGAACTTATACTCTTATTTGATAACATTAATCCAGTTATGAGAGCCAAAACTTTTATGATATGATGAAAGTTGATTATATCATCCTCCATCATTCCATTGTCATCTTTATTTCTTGGACAAATACAACATAATAATCTAAATATTATTTCTCTCATCTCGTGGATCTTTTTAATGACACTTGTCTCCTAGATTGTTGAGTTTATTCTTCCTAAATAATTTATCGTCTTAAATAGAGAGTTGTTCAAAATAACCTTATTGAGATTCTAGATTCCTTATTATTTAACGACATGTATAAACACATAGATATCATAAAAATAATAATAGAAATAACCAAACTCAACATCCTTTAAAATAATGTTATAGATCTCAACTTAAAAATATTCTTAATTATGAGATCATAAAAATTATAACCCCTAAATCACGTAGAATAACCAAAATAGTTGCTTATTGTTGTAGAACTTAATTTCTCTTCATACATCCTAACAAAAGAGAACAACCCTTCGTAACATATTGTTGTCTCTTTTGAGTTGGACCCTTAACAATTATATTCTAATTTTTTTGCTCTTATCTTTATATGCAGTTTTCAAGTGAAATGGGTACTTTCAAACTTATTATGCTTCAATCTTTCTTCCTTTTGCACACAATGAAAAATGAACTCTAAAAATATGAACTCATTTAGAGTTTATTTCTCCCTTTGAGTTGATTTCTCCCTTTGAGTTGATTAAGCTCTATTGGAAGCGATATTGAACTCATAAGAACAAGTAATTCTTTTAAAAAAAAATCAATCTTAAGTGCCTTAAGTCTTGGAGCAATATGAAACATATCTATAATGTACTCCCTTATATTTCCTTGACCCTTATTCTTTATAGACATAAAAAAAGTCAAAAAATGATGTAATTTAAACCTTATAGTTTTTTGAATTTTTTTGCTCAAATCCGACAAGGAAACTATTGACCTAAGTAATCTTTTCAGGTTATGTGTCCCTAAAGACTTTTACAATATTGTGCTTCATAACCATTAGACTTTTGCAATTTGAACAAATTTCACCCTCAAAATCCCTTATACCAATTAAGGATGTTATCCACCATTAGAGGTGGAAATTATTCTTTCCTTAGTGCAAAGTCTATGTTCATACAACCAAAACCTTATGTAAGTTCATTTTTTTCATTTCTTGAGATTTTCTTTCCTAATCATAAGTAAAGAATATATATTAGCAGATATTGTGGTAGTAATAAATAAATAAATAAGTTGAATATATAACAAAATATAAAACCAAGCCCACATTAATATTCACAAGTAAACAAATAAATTTAAAATAATGACTAATTCACATCTCAAGATACCAAACTACGTTAATACAAGTCTTTGGACAGTAATACTAACAACAAACCATACTTTTGTTATAATAATCAAACATTGACAATAAACTATGTCGAACAAAAGACTACTCTTTGGACTACTGTAATGCTCACATAAAAAATATATTATAATTGTCACATGTTATTACTACAGGTGTCGCTTGAAATCCGAACAAATATTAACTTTTCTTTAGGTCAATTAATAAATGCATGAATCATAAGAAACACATAATCATCTTGATATTTTAAATAAATCAGTCTACACAAATGAGATTACTTTGGCAACATTATGTTTCAACTAATCTATCAAAATATCAGACATAACCATAATATGAATTGATTTATTTCAAAAAATATATATTCTATTAACCAACAATCAAAACTAAATTTTATGATTAGTCATAATTTTTAAAATAACCCAAAATAGGATTGCCTAAATGACACCATTAGAAAACTTAATCTTTGAATGTTTCTCAAGAGTTTCTTAATCATGGATTCACTAAATTAAATCAAAACATGATTTACCTTAATTTTAAGTGTCTACTTCTCATCTTTCGACATCCAATTGTTGATTCCTCCGATGTCAGTAATAGATGGTTTTAAATCTCCAAACAAGTAACGATAAAGACAAAGAAATGCAATAGATTACATACCATCACAAATATTATTGGGGTTAACACATACAGGCTTATCGAAATTGATCGATTCCAAATAACTATAAAACTGTAGCTAATCAATTAAGAAATATGACTTAATCTACTGATAGTGCTAATCGAAAATATCAACAGAATGGGGAAAAAATAAACCCTAAATATTATACAAGAATTTTAATCGTATATATCATAAATTCTAAATTTAATTGATTTTCAATGATTCAACATGGTTTGGCGATGACACTATTTGTTAGAACCAAATCATAATAAACATGAAATGAAACTAGAATCTAATCATGTCAAATAATCAAGAACGAAATACTAGATTTGTGGAAGCGTACCTTGAATCTTTCTTTGGTTGTGATATTTCAAGAAGATATATAGAATTTCTTTAAGGATAAACTCTCTGACGGAATAAGAGAAAAACGAGATTAGCTATTTCATGTGGATCATAACCCTTTAAATAGCTGATTTAAGAGTCAATTGTTGTCCGTAATTATAATTTTGACTCTCATCAAATTAATTATATTTGCACTTTTATTTTCATGACACTTCTAATAACTTATAACTTTATAATATAATTGGTCACTTAATTTATATCATATTTTATAATAATGATATACATTAAAAATACATGCTATCAATTATGAATTTTAATCCCACTTATAATTTCTTAAGAACTACAACAAAGGAGATGGGTTTAATATCTTCTTTAACCATTTCCTTATCAACCATTTTTCCATAATTGTTAAACAAGTTGTCTAAATCAATCCCATTTCCAAAATGGTCACGAAGCAGGGATTCTAGGATAGCCCTAACGGTCATAGCCACTTTCGTGCCGTAGCTCTTCCCATTTCCTCCTCCCCTCTCTGTCTCAAACGTCTCCAGCCTCTCCATTTCGAAAGACCCTTCTCGTCTCACTTCATCCTCTATTTCATTTCTCGATGCTGCATAAAAATGCACTTCGTAAGAATCAAGCTTTCCCCTTTCAATTTCACCCTGCAACAATACAAGGATAAGATGCCAACTAGAAGAAAAGAAATATATCTGTATGTATGTTTATATATGTGAGGAAAATAGGGTACCCGAGAAACAGATATGGCAAGGGATCTTGAGAGAATTTCCCAGAGGAAAGAATTGCCTCTATCAACATGATCTTGGCCTTTTCTCCCCAATAGAATCAGAACCATTCTCCCACCTGTAACTAGCTCTTTCGATCGTAATTTTAAGAACAATACAAAGTCCTCTTGGAATTGGTTGTAGTACGCTTGAGACACAATTGGAGAGCTTGATTCAGATATGTAAACGTTTCCTTTGTTGATAGACTCGCCACGCTCGTCGTAAAGAGCTGGAGGAACCTGTATGGATAACAACGATCGTTAATATTGAATCTTGAACCCTGGTTTGAATTTTATAAGTCTTTAAAACAATGAGATATTAGAGAATCTTACCTTGGAGAGCCAATGCAAGCTGTAAGATGAATAGATGAAGTGCAAGCAACTGCATGGGAACAGTCTTCCATAAAATGAACCGGGATAGGCTCCAACGAAAATAGCAGTATCATCCTGATTTTTGTCTTTCTTAATGTCCCTATAAAAATCAGGCAAGGACTTAAACACTGAATTGAAGTCATTTGTGGGAAGATCATTAAGATAAACTCGAAATTCTGGCATGGGATGGGAAACTTTATGGCTGGTTCCTTCAAGCGCCTGGACCATATCTTTGATGATGGATAACGAGTTGGGTCCAGAAGAGCATCCCAAATCAGCTATGCCTATGCTCCTCGGTTTTACTTCACTGTAAACTTGTTGTATCGTTTCCATGGTTATATGTTTCACCATATCCGATCCCTTTTTCTGTTGGACAAAACATAGTTAATTAGCAGAAAGCAAGATGAAAGATAATGGTGAAATAGAAAGTGTTAGTGCTGATAACATAAATGTATTGTCTTCTTTTGGGTGTTATTGTGTTAAGAGCGATCGTTCAGGCACTTAGAAGAATTTTTAAGTTCTCTTCAGAATCGGAGACAAAACCTCGAGAATGTATTGTTTTTCAACGTAGCTACGCCCAAAGAGTTACAAGCACAATGGTCAGCAGAAAAGAAAACTGAAAGAGAAGAATAGGTCAAACCTGGAGCGAAGAATTTTGGGCATAGCCAGTCATGTGAAACACTTTCTCCACATCCATGTTTCAGCAGAAAGACGCTTACTGGTTAGAGGTAAATTGGAATTAGTGGGGGGCTTGCTTTGAATCTCCTTTTTAAAGGCAAAATTCAATCAGAAAGCCCTTTGCTTTTGGGGGGTTATCCTTTGTTTTGTTAATACATATATTACTTGTCATGGTAGTTCAATTATTAATATCTTATCATTAACCATCGTGGCAGGGCCCCCTTGAACAAATGCCTTGTTAGTGCTCCTCTTGGTTTCTTGATGGGGTAACCATTCAAAAGTGCCCTAAGTGAATTAAAAGCTTGTTTTGCATGTAAATGAAGTCCTTTTTAAGTGCTGTCTTGTATTGCTCTCAACTTTCCCAGACTTTGCAAGGAATCAAAAAGCAAATGAGCTTCATCAAATCAAATACTGTAAGCATCTTTAGAGTAATATTGTAGGGGTTCTTGTCCAGCGGACAAGAGCTGGACATATGGCAGACAAGGGATGCACCCATTTGAGTTCCCCATTCATCTTTTGTAGTCCAAGGCCTCAAAAAGGCTCCAATCACAATCAAATTTGTCAGGGCACTAACCATTGCATTGGTTTAGTTAGACCAGACACCTGAACCCTTAACATCTACCATGCAATTCCAAGTAAAATGCAGCTAATCTGACATTACATTGCTACCGTTTTGTCAGATTTCCAGGGGTTGTTTTTAAATCTAATATAAACTTTTATTTTGGTGATCTTATTATATATAATATTAATTGTGGCACTTTTGAAACCTCGCTGGCTATGATCTTACCAACGCTGGTGCAATAAACAAATGAAATCAAATATATTTGGAGGGCATCTTGTACTTAGTATTCATGGAAACAGTTCAAATGTTGTTAGGCCTATCGGGTTTTTTTTTGTTGGAACTTTTCATTTGAGATCACTAAGCACATTTAGGTTTTCGGCATGGGAATCTTCAACTCTTTACTTAAAAAATAAAGGTCACTGTTATGCTGGTTGGTTGTTTTGTGTTGTTTGCATGCATCCCGACAAACAAGCAATGCATGGGAATCTTCAACACGTTACTTGAAATAATAAAGGTCACACCACACGGTCAGGTTGGTCATTCTGTGTTTTTTTTTTGCATGTGGTTAAGCATTCCGACAAACAAGCAATGCTTGGAATCTTTATTGATCCACGAAAACTAAGGACAAGATGCCCTCTAATTAGGTTTGATTTCATTTGTTTATTGTACCAGCATTTGTGAGATCATTACTCCAATTCCTGTCTGGTTCATTTTAAAATTAACATTTTTCTTGTATATTCTTTGTATGATCATGTTGTTAGTTTCTTATTTCAATGTTATAGTAAAATATTTAAATTGCATATTTAATTTATGATGATAGTTGTAAACTCTTATTGTAATTTTGAATATTTTTCGTTTTTTAATAAAATTAACAAATTCTATAAAAAAATTAAAATACAAAAAAAATCAAATAGCTAAGTCAACACTAAACCAATTAAAGTAAATTTGTCCAACAGATTGCAGGAACCAACTTACATATCATTGGTTAAAAGAATATTTATTGATTTTAGGGGTCACGGATTCGAGCACCAGCGGTTGTAGCAGGATGATTGAACGCTCATTGTCAAATGATTGAGAGTATTTAGAATATATATTATTTTATAATTACCTTAGTTTAATAAAAAAAAATTATCTGACGGATCAAATTCAAAGATAAAAAAAATGGAAAAAAGAACTTTTCATTTCATTCATATCCAACTGTCTAAACCATTATCCATTACAATGAACTTAAACCCAAATCCAAAAGCACAACTAAACAGCCCAACAATTATCCTACACTTGACTCATGTCCTAATTACACTGTAAAACCCTTGGGAGACCATTTGCAAGCTGCCACCGCCAAACACCACGTCATCTAGAACCATTGGTTCCATCTTCCAGTTGCTTCAGTGCCACACGTCGCTAGAAACTGGTCACCAATTTTTTTATTAAGTTAATGGATTACAAAGTATTTATTATAAATACTCTCGACCGTTTCATAAATGAACATTCATTTACCTTTGCAGTCATTGATACTCGAACTAATGTCGTTTAGGAACAACAATTATTCTTTTAACCAATAAGATAAGTTGATTCTTGCAAACCGGTGACCAATTAGTCAAACATTTGTATTATTGTTTTCATATTAATAAAAAATCGTGGAGTCTAAAAACCATTTCGATAGTTATCATAACATTTTTTAACTAGGAACGAATTTCCTAAAATTTTTAAAAGAATAAGTGGATATCTATTATTTTAGAAAAATAAATTCATTTTAGTTTGAAATATAAAGGGTAAGAGAAAAAAAATTTAGATTTTTAAAATTTTTAGATACTCCACTACTTTGGCAATGATGAACATTAGTAATACTGCTAGAATATGAGGATCGTTCCCAAATTTCATTGGATAAAACATTGAAGACAAGGAAACTGTCTCCTAAAGATCAAGTTTATAACGAGAGTCTATAACTCTTTAAGAAACGAGGTTCAACCTAATGAGAATACAAAATGATACTTATCATAATTTCTTAAGAACTACAACAAAGGCGATGGGCTTAGTATCTTCTTTAACCTTTTCGTCCCAACCATTTTCCCATAATTGTTAAACAAGTTATCTAAATCAATCCCATTCCCAAAATGGTCACGAAGCATGGATTCTAGGACAGCCCTCACGGTCATAGCCACTGTCGTGCCGTAGCTCTCCCCATTTTTCTCCTCTCCTCTCTCAAACATCCCCAGCCTCTCCGTTTCGAAAGACCCTTCTGATGGGAAATAAACCGAGTAACGAGTAATTTCCCTATAATCATATTAGTGAGAATGCGAAATAAAAGCGGAAAAATAATACCCGAAATTGATAACGAAGTTCAGCCAATTGTGCTTACGTCTCCAGACTGCTGCAGATCTTTTACTAAGAGAGAAAATTTACAGGTGTTTACAAAACACTCACTACTCACAAGAAAGCTCTCTAGTATTGGGAGAAATAAAATGATTTTGGGATGGTTTTGAAGCTAAATGAGCTAGGGTATTTATAGTTGAAGCTTAAGGACTTAATCTTGTAAATACCCTAAAGTCTAGGGATTAATTATGATTATCCCATTATCATTTTTCAACAAACATCTATCAAACTTTGAAAAACTATTTTTCAAAGAAACATTTACCAAACTTTGAAAACCATTTTCAAAAAAAAAACATTTACCAAACTTTGAAAATCATTTTTTCAAAGTTGGTTGCCAAACTTTGAACTTAACTTTTAACAATACTTTCAACAATATCCCACTTGAAGACTGATTTTAATCTGTCTTCACACCTCGATCAATGCAACAGCATTTCTGGTCCTGTTATTCTAGCATGCCAACTGAAGTTGAACACAACTTCAGTTTGTCAGTGGTCACCGTCTTTGTCAACATGTCTGCCGGATTTTGAGCTCCACTAATCTTTTCAAGTTTCAAAATCCCATCTTCCAGAAGAGACCGGATAAAATGATACCGTAATTGTATGTGCTTCATCCTGGAATGAAAAGAAGAATTCTTTGCTAGATGGATAGCACTTTGACTATCACAATACAAGACATTATTTCTTGTTTCTTGCCTAACTCTTACAAGAAACTTTGGAGCCAAACCATCTCCTTGCTAGCTTCCGTAACAACGACATATTCTGCTTCAGTTGTGGAGAGAGCAACTATCTTCTGTAGTTGAGAAACCCAACTCACTGCAGTACCTCCCAGAGTATAGATATACCCTGTAGTGCTCCTTCTGATGTCAACATTTCCTGCTAAGTCAGGATCTACATAGCCTGTCAATATCGTATCTCCACTTTTGAAACAAAGTGCTTTGTTTGTAGTACCTCGCAGATATCTGATGATCCATTTGATAGCTTCCCAGTGTACCTTGCCTGGATTATTCATGTACCTACTAACAACTCCCACTGTATGAGCAATATCTGGTCTGGTACAAACCATGACTACATCAGACTTCCAATTGCTGAGGCATATGACACCTTCACCATGTGTGCACGTTCTTCCCCCGTCTTTGGTGACTGCTCTTTGGAGAGTCTAAAATGAACATCTAAAGGTGTACTTACTGGTTTAGCATCTTGCATGTTGAGCCTGGAGAGTACTTTGTTGATGTACTCAGCCTGTGATAACATCAAAGTCCCCGACTTTGTGTCTCTCTTGATCCTCATCCCAAGAATCTGCTTTGCAGCGCCCAGATCCTTCATAGCAAACTGCTTCGATAATTCTTGCTTCAAGTGTATAATCTCTTACATGTTTGAGCCTGCAACGAGCATGTCATCAACGTACAATAATAAAATAATGAAGCTGTTGTCAAGCCTCTTGATGTAGCAACAATGATCTGCTTGATATCTGGTAAAACCACTGCTACTTATGAAACTATCAAACTTCTTGTACCATTGTCTAGGAGCTTGTTTTAAACCATACAATCTCTTCTTCAACCTGCATACCAGGTTTTTCTTGCATGCCTCTATGAAGCCTTTTGGATGCCTTATATATATTTCTTCCTCCAAATCACCATGAAGGAAAGCTGTATTTATATGTAACTGCTCAAGATGTAGATTTTCTGCAGCTACAATTTTCAACACCAGTCTGATTGTAGACAGTTTCACGACTGGAGAGAAAATTTCATTGTAGTTAATACCTTCTTTTTGCTGAAAACCTTTGACAACCAATCTCGCTTTGTAGCGTTTTCTCCCATCGTGCTCTTCCTTGATCCTGTAAATCCACTTGTTGTGGAGCGCTTTCTTTCATGGTGGTAATTCAGCTAATTCCCACGTCTGATTTGACATAAGCGAGTCCATCTCATCTTTTATGGAAGACTCCCACTTGACTGAATCCTCCACTTGCATTGCTTTATCATAGCACTCTGGTTCACCATTGTCAGTCATCAACAAGTAGTGCAAAGAAGGAGAATACCGTTGGGTTGGTTTAGGAATTCTGGAGGAGCGTCTCAGTTCTGGTGTGATTGGTTCTTCTTGAACTGCTTCAGGAG